AATTTGACATACGAAGTTTTGAAGCTTGCTGTCAATACAACAAAATAGCATACATATGAAATCGCATATATATAAACATATGTGTAACTCCATCTATTGAAAAAAATCCGCATTAGTAACTGGTACACCTAGTAAGTCTCTAGCATCGCCTTTGGGAGGGGAAATGGCTGGGGACTTCTGATTCTAGAGAAGGCAGGGAGCACAGAGTCTTCAGTCTTCCTGACGAATACGCTGCAGAGTGGAGGCTGGCAGGATGGAGATGTGCAGAAAGGAGGTCACTTCAGGGCACAGAACCTGAGCCAAGTTCTGGGTGTGTGATAATGGGTGTGGTTTATGGGGGACTGTTTAGACTCCTTTATTAATAATGGCCTAACCAAAGTCTAACTGAAGTCCCTCCTGCTGTATTTTGCCTGTTTCCTTAGGCAACAGAGACACGCATTCATTTCAACTGCTGCCTCAGGCCTGCAGTGCCTGACAGCATTATTGGAATCACTCTGTGCTTCTGGCTTTAAAGACAGACTTTTGTGGTCAAAGAAGAGGTTTGCAGTTCAGGTACTTAGGATGTTGGCTTTCTGCTGGGGCTGTTGCCTCCCTGTCCAGACCCCTCATCACACTCATCGCCACCCCCACTGCATCTGTCCTTCTTCCTGCCCCCTCTCAATCACATCCAGTTCCAGTGGCCCACCTCAAATTCTCAGGCGATCTTCCTGGTTTAGGTACCATATCCCAAAGTGTGCAGGGGTTTGGGAGATGTCAGCAGCTATCACATGACTGAGGTGTCCTCCGGGGAGTGCTGGACCAGGTGGATTAGGAGCCTTCTCCGCAGGCCCTCTCAGAGCCTTGCACATGCCACTGTGGGTTGGGGGACTCAAGAGGAATGCTCAACATGCAGCATTTTCCAAACTTATTTCACCACAGAATGTATGCATTTTTCCACAGAGGACCTCGCTTTGATATAGAGGAGCGTCATAAGCTTCAGATTCCAGCAGATTAAGGTTCCAATCCTGGAACTTCCATTTCTTCAAGCCTCGGTCTCTTCGTCTATACCATGGAGATAGCGGTCCTCACCTTGGAGACTATGGCAAGGTTTCAGTGAGATGACGTATGAGAGGTGCTCAGCCAGGGCCAGGTGTACAGGGCTCAGTAAATGTGTGTTTTCTCCTCTCCTTTTTGCCTTTTCTGGTGGAAGCTAAAATCTGAGTCAAAAATGCCCTGTACCGAACAGAGCTTCAGCTGTAGCAGGTCCTTGAGTAACGCCTTTTCCTTTAAAGTCATTCCATTGTAACATTGATAGAAAAATAAAAATGGCCTGTGTGGCGTTCACACCTTCTCCCCATGCCTGTGTGGATTTTCTCCTGGTATCCTGGTTTCTTCCCCAACATATGCATGTTGGGTGAATTGGTGTGTCTGAATTGTGCTAGGCTGAGTGTGCTGTGTGTTGAGTGTCCCTTCGATGGAAGGGTGTCCTGTCCAGGGTGGGCTCTTGCCTCGTGCCCTGATCTGCCAGATGGGCTCTGGCCACTCTTGACCCTGAACTGGAGTAAGTGGGTTAGAAAATAATCTTCTTACTTGTTTTTATTAATCTTTCTTAAATGTATGGATAGCTCACATTTACTTCAATGTTTAATATTAGGAATTTTTTTGGTCTCTATTTAGAAGTTTGGTGATGTTTTCTGGGAACAGAAATAGGATATGGGAACTTAACTCTTGTTTATATCAATTAGCTTATGGTAAAATTGGTTTTGTTATACATCGTTTTGCTTGAAGTCGCAGTTTCTAAGAACCTATTGATGGTGTTAAGCAAGGACTTACTGTACTTGGCATATGATGGTGAAGCCACACTTAGACACACAGGGTTAGAGGCGTGAGAGCTCACAAGGGACCAGGCCAACCAAGCAGGCTTCCTGGAGGAAGCATGCCCTTGCTAGGTCAGATCCTGAAACTAGTTCTCCAGCAAAAACCTGGGGCGGGGAGCTGGGAGGGGGAGGTTTGAGACCTGCAGCTCTGTGCAAGCAAGCTACAGCAGGAATCCTTCTCTTTATTTTTCTTTTCCACCCTGGAGGCCCATTTCCCCATCAAATCCAGCCGACGCAGCACTTGCCTTCCCCTCCCACGGCCTGAACTTGGCCAACATCTCAGGTTCCAGAGGTGTGAGCCTTTGAGTGGGGCCCTCCTGGCTTGTGGAAATTCACTGGGCCCGCAGAAGCCTGCCGTATGTACTGGCGCCTCAGGAAGCTCAGGGTGAACAGGCCACCAGGACCTGGGTGCTGGCCCAGACCCTACCTACTCCAACCTTGGCCATGGGGGTAGTGGGATCCAAGCAAGGCTGGGGAGGAAGCCACGCTGGAGATTTTCTCTCCCAGACTCTTTCTCATCCCTACCTCCCCCCTCCCAACCAACCATGTCAGGAGATCTCACTTTGAACCAGGCGCGTTTCCTCCTTAGCTCATTTCCCATCTCACTGATGAGAAGCAAAGCCTCAGAGTCGGCTTGAAACCAAGCCCATTTGGTCCAAAGTCCAAGCTCTTCACACTGGTGCTCCAGAGCCGTTTATTGCCCTTTGTGTCTTTCCTGTTGTGCCTGGCATGTCACCACCCCCAAGGAGCCTTCCTAGTACTCATCCGGGTCCAGACTCACCTCCCCTTCTTCTAAGTGTGCACAGTTGGAACCACAATGCCCATGCCCATTAGTCTGTATTTCTGGAAGAAAAGGACCATGTCCTACCACACTGCACCCCTGGTGATGGCACAGCACACATTGCTCTCTGTTGGGAGAAGGGGGGAGTATGATTTTCCTGACTATACGGAAAATCATGACCTCAGTACTGAGTCGCTCAATATCTTCTATCCCCTCCGTAATTCCTTACACTGCACAGGGCTGGCCTCAGATACTCATTCTCTCAACTTCCCAGTCTGACATCTGTTCTATCCTCCTGCAACTCAGCTTGCCTGCTAGATGTCAGCAGGACCCCCAGATATTCATGAGCAGACCCCTGTGGCTGGATACCCTCAGGAGGGGCCTTGTGTAATCTCGGCTCTGATTCTCTTCCTCCACAGGAGCTGCAGCCCTGCACGTCCGCATCAGACTTGGAGCTCGCCCCGCTGCCCGCCAACACCTGCTTCAATGACTAGCGAAGGTGCCAGGGAAATTATGAAAAACATGTGACAGGTAAGTGGCTGCTTCTGCAACTTTCTTAGGTTTCAAAGGGAGGACGGCTTTCTCTAGTGTGTGCGCTGGGCATTCGGGCTTTGCAAGAGCTTTCAGAACGCATGGGGCAGAGTAGATCCCTGTAGGACTCTGTTTTTCTCGTCAGTGAAATCCGACTGGGCCTCTAGGCACTGGGTTACTGAGACCGATCATGGAATGGGCTCCATCCAAACACTATGGCTTTGTTCCCCTCCATGAAGCACAGAAAGGCAAATGGGTTCTGAGTAGAAAGGGAGCGAAGTAAGCAGGTCAGAGAGTTCCAGAGCTGGAAAGCACTTCATGTCTCTAAGTTCAATCCTTTCACTTTCCAGACAGAGAAACTGAGGCCCAGAGCAAGGTATGTGCATAAAGTCAAATAGCTTCTTAGAGACTGAGCCATGGCCAGGGTGAACACATCAGTCTCTCTCTAAAATCTTGGAGAAGCAAGTGATAAAAGTCCATGAGGTATTGTGTCTAGAAGCTCCCATTTGAAGTACAACAGGTACATGGGATTGGGCCTAGCCTATCTGTGGCTGAGGCTGGCCATGAGCTGCTAAGGTGTATAAGGTCAATGCAGGTTGGTTGGGATCCATAGCCGCTGTGTGTCTACCAGCCTATAGCCACCTGGCTCTGTCCTCAGGTATCTAGATGCCCAGAGAACTCATAGACCAACTGTATCCTAGAACAGAGCTCCTCCCTGGCACCGAGTTGCCTTTGGCTTGGGTAGAGGATAATTTGTAGCTGTTAAACATCAGGCTATTTCAACAGGGTCCTGTGAAATACCTGTGAAAACATTTTCCACAGCTACCAGTCCTGGCCTCCTACAGATGACCCTTATATAAACATATATAGCACAACTCTTACGTGCCAGTGCCTTCAATGTCTCCTGTAACCTACAAGAAATAGAGGCTAAGTTCTTCCCGTGATGCTTAAGACCTTTATGTACTTATCTGCCCCACCTCTGATTGGTCATCTCTGGAAACTCACCATACACGCCATCCTGGGCCATTGCACTGAGAACACCACCCATTGGATGTCCCTGGATCTTTTTTCAAAACTGCCTGCAATGTTCTTTTCTCTTTATCTGGAGGACTCCTCATCTTTCTCTGCAAACCAGAGAAGTGTCACCTTCTCTGTCAGGTCTTCCTTCTGCCCATCCTTAGGTAGTTGGACCCCCAAAGTAAATCTCAAACTTGACCCTTTCTACCATCTGCACTGCTGTCTCCCAGGTACAAGCCACTGTCGCTCTTACCTGCTCTACTTCAGTCGGCTCCTCATTGGTCTCCCTCCTTTGCACCTTTTCCCATTACAAGCCATTTTCTATGAAGCAACAGGGTGATCTTTTACATCATAAATCAGATCCTAGCACTTCTGTGCTGGAAACCCTCAAATGGCTTCACGTTGCAAGCCTCACCGTGGTTTGCACTGTCTCCCCTGCCTGTCTCTCCACTGTCACATCATCCACTCTCTCTGCCTTGTTTCCCATGTTCTAGCCACAGTGACCACCTTCGTCATGTTCCTTGAACAAACCAAACTTGTTCAGAGACCTTTGCCTTCCTATGTCCCTGGATGTCTCCCCCTACCCCATCCTCCCAGATCCTCTTATGGTTGGCAGTTTTCATAATCTGGGTCTTGGCTCAAATATCACTTCTTGAAGAGGTCTCCCCTGACCTTCTGCCTAAAGTAGCCTCCATTATGCCCCCAGTTTTATTGTATTTGTAATCATGCCTGTAACAGTGATTTCATGTATGTATTTGTTCCGTGTTTTTTCCCATGTCTTCTGCTGCATCAGAAGTTCAATGATAGCAGAGATGTTGCCTGACTTTATTGATGTGTCCCAGGTTATAAAAACAGTCCAGGGGCTGAGTTGGTACTTAATAAAGAAACATCTATGAATATCTGTCTTAAGTGGTGCCCCAGCACGGAAAGCCCATGGGAAGAGATCTTTGTGGGCTTCCTATAGGAAGGAAAACCTGGATGAACCATAAAAAGATGGCAGGGTTTGTGTAGGGAGAGAGAATCAGAGATGGTATTCCAAGAAGTAGGCACGGCCAAGAGCATACACTGAGTGGTTGGAAAGAGAGAGTGCAGGACAGAGAGTGGCTGGAGCAGGGAGGCTAAATGCTGAACAGAGGAGACAAGGTTAGCTCTGTGACCAGGGAAGAGGCTGGGAGGGGCCATTGCGGGGTAGGAGTGTGACAGCAGACTCTGAAGGCCCTAACAGGACAGACAGGGGGGCCCTTTTCCCTCACTCTTCTCACTATTTCCAAAGCCATTCCCTGCAGCTTCCCTTCACATGCACACATGATTATTTCTAATAGAAAAGGTAGACAGGAGCCACAGGAATTTAAGGCGTCACATAATATCCTCATTGGCAAATAGAAGCAAAGCGCACCCCTGCTTGGGCTGAGCAGTGTCTGTGCCAATACCAATAGGGGGTCCCAGGGAAGTTGGAGTAGAATTCATCTGGACGGGCAGGAATAGCAAGTTACAGAGTCTTTGCCTGCAAATGGGCTCACATGAAATCCAGCCACAGAAGCTTTGAATCACAAACTTTCAGGACACACTGTTCTACAGGCTCAAAGAGGCTATAAGTCCAAACTCGAATGGCCTTTGGCTTCTTTCAAAAAGACATTCTTCGCTCCTTGCACAGCTCCAGTGACGGAGAGCTCCCACTCACATTGCTGGAAAGCTCTGATTCTCTGAAGGTCTTCCTCATATTGTGGTGAATCTAGTCTCCCTGGATCCCCCTGCCTGGACTCACTGTGGCCCTGGGGCTGCTCATTCTGCCACCAGGCAGCATGGGAGACACACACAGCAGCCATCGCACCTCCAGGGCCCTCTCACCAGACCACACACTCCTCAGTGTCGCTTCTGTTTCCTCCCCACTCGAAGCAACTCCTTTGGGCTTGCCCCAGTTTGTCACCACTCTGCTTCCCCTGTTCTGGGGAAGGCGTCTACAGAAGGGTGCCAGGTACCCTGTGAGTCCATCTTACACTCTTTTTAACTCCAACTTCAAGACCATATGGCACTGCTGGGAATGTAAAATGGACAGCTGCTGTGGGAAACAGTATGGCAGTGCCTTAAAAAATTAGATGTAGAATTACTATATGAGCCAGCAATTCCACTTATCAGAATATACCCAAAAGAATCGAAGCAGGGACTTGAACACTTGTATATCTATGCTCATTGCAGCACTACTTATAACAACCAAAAGGTGGAAGCAACCAGCTATCCATCAACAGATGAATGGATGAATAAAATGTGATATGTACAGACAGTGATATTATTCAGCCTTAATAAAGAAAAGAATTCTGACACATGCTACAACATGATGAACCTTCAAAACAACCTGCTAAGTGAAATAAGTCAGAAGAAAAGGACAAATACTATGTGATTCCACTTATATGAAGTGCCTGGAATGGGCATAGAGATAGAAAGTGGAATAGTAGTTACCAGGGGTTGGGGGGAAGGGAAAGGGGGAGGGTTTTTGTTTAATGGGCACAGAGTTTCTGTTTGGGATGATATAAAAGTTCTATAAATGAATAGTGGTTGCACAACATTGTGAATGTATTTAATGCCATTGAATTGTTCACTGAAGAATGGTTAAAATGGCAAAGTTTGTTCTGTATATTTTACCACAATAAAAAAAATTCAAGGCCACATATATCTACTCTCTGTTCTCTGCCAAAGAGCAGTCAAGCACCAGGCATTTGTAAAGTGCCTTCCAAGTACAGGGACTGTCTGACACGCTGTGGGCCATCGGGTCTGGCAGTAGAGGCTCTCCTTATTCATAAAGACAGTAACAGCCAAGCACTAGGTTAAGCAATTAACATGGATTACTTTATTTAATCCACACAGCCTTCTCAAGTTACTATCATTGCACCAATTTGACAATAGAACTGAGACTCAAAGAGGCTAAGTTGCTTGCTCAAGATTACACAGGGGCAAATTCGGGATTCTAATGTGCATGTCTCATGCCAGAGGCTAGGTTCTTAATCATAATGCTTGACTACTTTTTGAAAGAAACTTGGGAAATGCTTAAGAGCAAGAAAACACATACACGTGCATACACACACACACACACACACACACACACACACACACGCAGGTACACACCCTCTGAGGTGGTTTGCTGGGTGAAATGTGTGCAAACTTCTTACAGAAAGGAGCAGCCATAAACTCCACAAGTGTTCAACTAACCTCTCTTGCTCACCATTCCATCCTCAGTATTTGTGGAATGGAAGGGTTGACCATCAGAGTGTCCTGAAGGAATCAGATTTCCTGAAGGAGTGACATTTCAGCTGGGCCCTGCAGTGGGAGGAGAGGGGGAAGAGGATCTCAACCCACACTGTGTCTGGAGACTCCCCTGACCTCCAGGCTGGGCTGGGGGACACCTGTGCTCCATAGCCATCCTCCATCCCCAAGCTTCCTTGCTGACGGCACCTGTGCCATCGTGAACTGAACTCACAGGTTCACTGTTTATGACTCCACTAGATGGGCACTCCTGACGGGCAGGGCAGGGCCCCAGTTTAACCCTCTCTGCCCAAAGCCCAGCTAGGAACTGCCACAGAGTCGATGCTCTGGGCTTTCTCACTGGAGACAAACAATGGAGAGTGTTGGGAGAGCCCCCCAGAGGAGTTCAACCTTGAGGAGCTCTCATTCTAGTCTCCTTATTTCTTTATAATTAGAACAAATTCCCTCTTAGCTCAGTTTCCATTCCCGAAGGTGGAAGGAATTCAGGAAACTTCTCCCAAGATGCCAAGTCCCGTTCTCCGTCTGTCTAGACATATGACAGAGGCTGCCCTCCATGTGATCTTGCAGAACTGGTGGGGCTGCAGCAGCAGCTGGTGCACGTTACCTCTGGGGCTGGCAAGGCCTCCCCTCTGAGCTGAGGAGTCCTCACCCTGAGACAGCAGCCCTGGCTGAATGGCTGAGGCTCATGCCTGACTGACAGCCACCTGTGCAGGTGAGGCCTGGGC